CATTATCTTCTCTAAAAGTATCTTTTAGTAACTCTTACAAACCGTCACAAATACTTGAAAAGTGTCACTAATATATATACTTTTAGAGAAGCTTTGAATAAAAAGTTGACTGACCTTTAGAGAAGTTTTAAAAGTGTATCTAAAGCCTCAATTAAGCGTCTCTAACGGCTAACAAAAATACACCCTTCGAAAACCGTCTCTAAAACCTTCACCTACTGTCACACAGAGAAGGTCTTTGACAAAATTGAAAAGCTTATCTAAAGGCTTTAGAGAAGCTTTTAAGACTTTTAAGTACAAAACAAAAGCTTCTCTGAAGGTCATTTTTCTTGTAGTGGACGAAATGAATAATTAAAAAATTAAAACAATGAAAATACCCGTTGGTAATCCGTTTGTAATTACCGACGGATATTTTAGTATTATTTTTAATTTTTTTAATTTTGGAGTTTCTGAGAAATAAAAATAAAAATATAATTACCTACTTTTTTAAATGTGTGTATTTATATAATCACATGCGATTTTACACTAAAATCACATCTGATTCTTGCACTCACCTTTGTATTGATCGGGTTAATCAAAATGAGTGTGTATGGAGAAAGCAGGTATTCTATCAACGTTCTACCTATATAGCATGTTTCTACTTGATTTATATACTTAAACATTGCACATAAAGATTTAATAAACTTATTTTGTGTCTCAAATCGAATAATAATTTTTTTCTTTTACTTGGTGCAAATTAGATACACAAGCAGGTGTATGTAGTGGGTGAGTTTGTGATGATTTGACTCAGAGCAAGATGTGGTAGTTCTGTACAGAAACAACCACATAATCAGAATGTGAATCTATGATCCAAATTCATGGTTATAATTACATCTAAAACTTGGGATTTTACATATTTTTATATAAAAATATATGAGTATCACATAAAAGGATGTCGTGTTCATCGGGTTGGATTGGGTTGGGTTGGGTTCAAACAATTGTAATCCAATTCCAACTCAATACTTACAGTTTGAAAATTTTACCACTCGATTAGAGATCAAGTTACTTTGGTTTGGGTTATCTCGCATTGGGTTGGGTTGGTAGAGTTGGTTTGGGTTTTTGAGCACTCCTATGTGTGTGTATATAGAATATAATATTTTACATAATAATATAATGTTTTATAATATATATATAAACTAATTGATAAACTAACTGGTGGCAGATAAGTTAGTTTATGAACAAATCGTTTGACAAAAACTAGCTGAAAATCATGTAAAATGATAAAAAATAACATCTTATAGAATTAATCAATTACAATAATGTATACTATAACTAAATAAATATTTAATAATATGATATGTTGCTTAAAAGAAATTTAACTTGATTATTATGTATATTATAAATTTAGGATTTGTTAAAACAAATTTTAGAAAAAAATTATACACTAATTTATGATTTTAAATAACCATTATTATCTATGAAATAAAATAAGTATAACTTTTATTTTTAAGTAACTTACATAAATATTATAAAATTGTTATATTTGTATTTTGAATAATAATAAAAATAAATTCATATGGTTAATATTAATTTTAAATAATTAATAGTTAGTATTAATGTAGAATATATTTAATAATTTGCAACAAATATTAA